ATATATTTTAAGATCTTAACTTGGAAGTTTAAAACATCCATTCCTTATAATACGAATATGCCAACTATTTTATAGTACTGATCAGTAATAAAATATTGCCTTACAGGAATAGAATTGAAACTTACATCAATACACTTTCAATTTATTCTAACATCTTAAATTAGAAGTGTAAAAGTCAATTTCTTCTAATACATAATATGCCAACTATTTTGTAGTATTTAAAACCTAACATAACTTGGGACATTGTAAAATTTATCACGATAAAATTTTCAAAATTTTCCATTAATTTTTTCACAATTTAGTAACAGTTCAAAAATAACCGAACAAAACTAATTAAACACAATGTCATACCATTCACAGATTCACTCACAAAACCAGTGCACTATAGCTTCGTCTTCTTCGGCAAACACTGTAGCTTCGTCTTTCAATCAAAGTTTTGGAAAGAACTTGTAAATTAGGAAAGAAGAAAAGTAAGGAAACGAGATCGGTGACTTTGTTTGAAAGAAGATTTTATTTATTTTTTTATATTTTGGGACAGAAGAAGAAAGAAGATTAAGAAGAATCGCTAAATTTGATTTGAAAATTTTAATTTGACGCTTAAATAAAAAATTAAACAGGTATAATTTTATATATGTGTATATATATATATAACCTTTATTATCCGATATACTATTTGGCTTTTTTTACTGCCACTACAATGATCACCGGGAACAGATCTCGTGTTCCACCGGAGAGATTTTTGTCCTTACTGGAGTATTTATAATCAGCTGCCAAACATAGTGATCAACCCACCATTAACAAACAAATATTGCTTTGCTAAAAAAACAAAAATCGACCACCATCAATCCCACGAAACAAAACTATAACCAAATCATTTCCAAAACATTATAACCTACCTTATCATTACCCCCTAATCCTCAAAATCAACGACGACCTTCAAACAAAACTAGAGGCTTTGTTGTTAGGGTTTTGATTCAGCAAAGGGGTTCTGCTTTTAGTGATCAATCATATGCACATCCCATAAATCATCATCAAGATTTGAAGAACAACAATAAGAAAAAGAGGGACTATTACCATTAGCTACCTCTGCAACCCAATACAATAACACCAAACCTAAAACCCCTTTCTTTTCAATCGCACAAAATCCAAACGAGTCATAACGTTGAACACTATCGCCATTGTCGCAAACCCCAAGTCCGAGCCCTCATAATAAAGCAAAACAGCCCGGTGAACCACTCAACAACAGTTCAAAAACCATCGTCGTCGCCGATCGTCCCTTCAGCCTCCATATCATTAGAACGTTGCCAATCGTCAGCGTTGCTGTCCTCTCCTTTGCTATCTCAACGTCGCCGGTCTCTCGCACTGTCGCCGTTGTCGAAAACAGGCGTTGGAGGAGATATGGATGGAACTTGGGTCTCTGTCGACTGGCAGCGTTGCTGTCCTCTCCTTTGTTGTCACAACGTCGCCGGTCACTCGCACTGTCGCCGTCGTCGGAAACAGGCGTTGGAGGAGATATGGATGGAACTTGGGTCTCTGTCGACTGGCAGCGTTGCTGTCCTCTCCTTTGTTGTCACAACGTCGCCGGTCACTCGCACTGTCGCCGTCGTCGGAAACAGTTGTTGGAGGAGATATGGATGGAACTTGGGTCTCTGCATGTAGATCAACAGATGGAAGAGAGTGTTCTTTCATATGCTTACAGCACTCTTTCTGTGGGTTATTAAAATGAGTTGTGCGGGCAATAATGAGTGAGGGTATAAATGACTTTTCCCAATCATAGATATTTGTAACTTAAACCTATTTGTGACATAACAATGTAAGGGCATAATAGAATTTTTACATTAAACCTTAATGCTGCTATATTTGTGTGAGATTTAGTCAAATTTTAGAGGCGAACTTGAATCTGGAACTTCAAAGTATAAATTTCAACCCAAGCTCAACTCAAATTAAATTCGAGTTCAAAATATATATAACTTAGAGCCAAACAGAAATTAGAAAAATATTGTCTAAGCTCACAAAATTTCGAACTGGGCTTGGATTATTTCAAGTTGAGTCCGCCCGAGTTGCAGTCCTAGTTGAAATTGAACATGATCAAATTTATTCAAAACCATGCATGAATTATTATTCTTGTTTCCGATATTAGGAGCTTCACAAGACATGCATTAAACTTGATTTTGATGTTAAGCTCGACTTTAGTGAGCAAGAAAGATTTGAGAAGGTACTTGTCGGGTGAGTGGTAGGGTACAACCACCCATAGCCCTACGAAAAATATATTTAATTGTGTGTATGGTATGTAAGTTGTGTGTTGGTTGGACAAAATTTTTTTGTATGAATTTTAGTGTCAATTAATTTGTCTTAATCAGCTTGCGGAGCAATTAATCAAATTAGAGAGGAAGTTGGAAAAATAGTTGGGAATTGAAAACTTAGTGCTAATGTGCAAGAATGCATTGAGTCACATGCAATCTAAAGTTGTGCGTTGTCGAGTCAAAAAAAAAAAAACACACAATCCATGTATATAATTATTTAAATTGAAGCATTAAAAGAGTCAATAATGGTAGATGAATTGGTTACGCAAATAGTCACGTCTCATCAATCATCATCTTGAAGTCTATTTAGGCTGAGACTAACCTTGAAGGAATTTGCACCACAACAATGCATGTCCTTCACCTAAAATTCTCTCCGTTTTCTTCTTCATCAATAACTTTGTTATGTGTCTTCCTTTTGATCAATATCACCCAAGCTCTAACAAAAATTCCACACAATGAATCAATTCCTGCAGTTTTTATGTTTGGTGATTCCATAGTTGATACAGGCAATAATAACAATATCCAAACAATAGCCAAAGCCAATTTTCGTCCATATGGGAAGGATCTCGCCATCGTGGGAGGAAAACCAACTGGAAGATTTAGTAATGGAAAGGTTCCCGCAGACTTGTTTGGTAGGAATGAAATTTTTTACTTTTATTATATATTTAAGAAACAAACACACACACAACTTTTCTCACACTTACCAAATTTTGCCACTGATATATACTATTAATTGGATTTTACCAAATTCTCTTCATTTGTCAGCGGAAGAATTGGGAATTAAAATGCTCTTGCCGGCATATCTTGATCCAAATCTGCAAACTGAAGATCTCCCTACCGGGGTGAATTTTGCTGCTGGTGCTGCAGGATATGACCCTCTAACATCTGAGCTCTCTCTACACAATTTTCTTTTCTATTGCTTTCTTGTGTTTTTGTCTTTTGTAAGCTTTCACACACACACATATATATATATATTCTTTGCAAAATTTACTAATTTTTTTTTTTCTTTTACTTTTTAAAAATTTTTGTACAAATTTTTTTTGTTAAATATCAGACAGTTATATCACTGTCACAACAGTTAGACTTGTTCAAAGAGTACATAGAGAAGCTGGAAAGGGTTGTAGGCAATGAGAGAAGCAGCACCATTTTAGCCTCCAGCCTGTATGGAGTGGTAGCAGGCAGCAATGATATTACCAACACCTACTTTCTCACTCCTTTCCGGAGATCACAATACGATTTTCCTTCATACGCGAATCTTATGGTTAACTCAGCTTCTAATTTCATGCAGGTATATTTTAGCTAGGTCAGCACATATGCAATTTCAGAATATCTATTCGGTGCTCCCAATGTAACACTAGTTTAAATTTAAAACTAAAGTATAGTGGCAGCAAAATATATAACTTTTGGTGTCACAAAATTATAAGGATGATTCAATTCCATGAACTATATAATTATATAAGGAGGATTCAATTCCATGAACTATATAATTACTTATAGGTAAAAAATTATTGACTTGACATCCCTTCGCGACACCAAAATTTTATAATGCAATTCAATTACATAATTGTTGGAGAGTTTAATATGAATTTAACATGTCAAAAATGAATAATGATAAATAATATGAAAGTCAGATGTATCTAAGTGATTAACAAGAGTAGAAATAATATCATCATAACGTTATTAAATACATCTCGTATTTACATAAATTTGATCGGATATATCCCACTATCATTTATGGTCAAAAATATAATTTTTTTTAACTTTATTTCCAAGTCAGGACTTGTACAAGATGGGTGCACGTAGAATTGCTGTTCTGGGTTTGCCGCCATGTGGATGTTTGCCATCACAGAGAAGTCTATTTGGAGGAGAACAAAGACAGTGTGTAGAGAAGTACAATGAAGCAGCACAGTTGTTCAACAGCAAGCTATCAGAGCAGTTAAAATCTCTTGACAGCAAACTTCCTGATTCAAAGATTGTATATATTGATATATACAGTCCTCTACTTGATCTGATTCAAAACCCCAATACATACGGTAAATTAACTGTCACCAAACTTATAATATATACTGTATCATTATTCAGGCCTCTTTTTCTTTTCCTTATTATTATTATTTTTTTTTGTTTTTTTTTTCAATTTTTCCAAATAAATCAGGCTGGTCATACGAAATCTATATATATATATATATATATATATATATTATTCTATTCTATTTTTATAACTTTTTTGTTTTTTTTATCGAGTAGTTGGATTTTACTGTATATATTACAATCACAAGCTTATAATATATAGTTAAGTTTTAAATTCATCTTTAATTATATGTGTATACAAACAAAGTCTTATTTCTAAAATAAACTATTTCTAAATATTATTTGTCTAGTCCCTCCTATCATTTACCCCAAAATCCTCAATTTGATACATTCATGTTTTCTTTTGTTTCCTTTTAACTTGTTTGGTAATGCTTTATTAGTTATGATACCACTAGACTATCTCAAATTTATTCCACGCAACTAGGAATATCATAATCTTTCCATTTTCTTGTATATTGATCTAGTGTGTATGTATACACACACTTGGTAATATAAATCTATGGCACTAGCAGGTTTCGAAATAGCAGATACAGGGTGCTGTGGCACTGGTAGAATAGAAGTGACATATCTTTGCTCCATCTCCATGCCATGTACAGATGTGTCTAAATACCTATTTTGGGATAGCTTTCACCCTACAGAAAAAGCATACAGACTACTGGTCCACCAACTCCTCAACAAGTACCTCGACAACTTCTTCTAGGACTATTCACCTTTCTCATGGTAATTTAATTCTCTCCTGTCAACCTTTGTTATAATTTCATGTTTCAAAAATAAGAGCACAGCAGTTATTTGTAATGTTGGTTACCTCATTCTGTAAATATTGTTACATATTATTTGTTTTGAAATATTTATACCAAACTCAAAAAAAATTTGGGTTTGTACAACTACAAGTGGAACTACTTCATTTTTATTTACCATACTTTCACAATCTATTTGTTTGTGTGTGAATTTGAGAGTAAATTTTGTCTTAAGTTTGTTTATGGAGCCCTAAGGACATATCTGAAAGATGAGGTGTGATCAGATTACTGCAGTGTAATAACAGCATTGGTCATCCATGCCAAATATGAAATCGGAATGATATAAATGTCTTTGAGATATAGGTTTATGGTAGGCGTTGGCAAATTTCGGTGTCAAAGCTTGATGATCAAGTTGTAATTTTTGGTTTATCGTGAATGATCGTCGGAGCTGAATTGGAAGAGCCTCTTACCGTGAGATTGGATGAAAAATCGCTTAGAACAGGTACATGAGTGAGGGTGATTTATATTTAAGCTAGATAGGATTACAATTGAGTTTTTGAAATAGAAATTGCAATCTGGACAAATCTGACCCATCCTACTTATTTCAACTAGTCGCACTTGGCCAATACTCGGAGGTTATCTCAGAGTTGCAATCTGCCAAATCTGACCAATCGCACTTTCCTGGACCAGTCACATTTCTCAGAATCTCTGTTCTTTACAGACTAGACATTCCAATCAGTCCAACTGGTAATAATTGCGGGATTCAATATATTTTTGGTAACTTCTAAGTTTCCTTTTTGATCCAAATTCTTTGAGATGTCTTAGTGCGATTTAAAAACTTTTTTCTAACTATTTTGAGGACTCTCTTGGATATAAATACCTCTATAAACTACACCCCTAATATAATTTTTGTGATGAAAATATAAAATCATCTTTGACACCATTGTTGGAGTTAAAAGAGAGAGATTTTGGAAAAATTATAGTCTTTTTTAGAACACACACTTAACCACATTATCTTTTTTAGGTGGATGTTCTTCATCTGATTGATTTACTCAGTTTGATTAAAGCAATAGAATTCTTTCATATTATCGAAAGGAGAGGAATTGGTCACTACAAAGGTAATAGATCATTCAAGTAGTGTTTGTGTTCCGTCAATATTAAGGAGTAAGTCTGAAGTCGAGAGCGTTTTTATGAGGGGTCACAAAGCCAAAGGCATTCAGTAGCTAGTTTTTGGAAGAATAGAGAAGGTGTGAGCCTAAGTTAGAGTTGGTAACTTAATTTGCTTTGAGATAGTGGATCGATTTTGCCAGAGGTGTCAAGCTCTCCGTGGTTTTCTCCTGAGTTGGATGAGTTTATCCAATAGGGTTTCCACACTAAAAATCTCTATGTCATCTCTCAAACTTTACTTTACTTGCTTATTTTCTGTTCATATTTGTGATTATGGATGTTTAATGATTGATAATTGTTGGTAATTTAATCAATCACAAAAATCAAGCAAGTTGACTTATTCACCCCTAGGTCATTAGAATATTGTGAGTGTTCAAAATGGGGCTAACTTTCATCTGGTTGTCAATATGGCAAACTTCAGGGGGTGTGAGTGTAATTAACTCTTTTCTCTACAAGCCCCCATAATGCCTAGCTTCAAGAGACTTTATTTACCTAAAATATAGAGATTTTTTCTCTTTAACAACTATCTCTCTCTAGAAATTATGAGTTTATGCAGCGGAAGATAATGTGAAAAGTTTAAGTTTTTAAGGAAAAGATTAAAATCTGTGTCTTTCTATTTTAATCAACTTTACTTAATTTAGCAATAAATCAATTAATCACTGGCAGAATAAAAGTAAAATAAAACAAATAAAGTTTGAGAGATGACACTAGGATTTTTAGCGAGGAAACACCAATTAGTATAATAGACCAATTGTTGTAGGAAAAACGTCGTGTACTGTGTAGTCCAAAGTAAACCGATCCACTATATTTGGAACAAGGAACAATGGACTTTGACTTAGTCTCACACCCTATCATTCTACCAAAAACCAATTATTGACAATCCTCTAGCTTTGCGACGTCCTATCCAACAACTCTTGACTTCTGGCTTACTCTTGATCTCTGTAGAAGGATTGATGGTAGAAGGAACACTCCTCAAATACTTTGACCCTTTCAAAGTGCAATCGCTTTACCCATTTTCTTCAAGATTTGAATTTGATGTAAATGAAATAGATCGGCTTCTCTGATCGTTGTAGATGCAATATTCAATAAAATTTGAATACGATCAGGAATTGAACAACACCCTAAATTCACTCTTGTGTCTATGTGTGTGTTCAAGAAATAAAAACAGAAAAATTATACTTGATTTTCTGCAAAATATCTCTCAAATAGTCTTTTAATAAATTAAAAGTTGTAATGCAAAAGTCGTATCAACCTAGATGTAATTCAAGGTTTATATAGACTTTCAAAGACTTAGATATGCATATGAAAATGTAAATTTCATGCATAAGGCTTTTGGAAAGAAGTCTATACCAAATAGGAAATTTAGACAGAGTAGGAAACAAATTACCTAAACTGTATCAAACAACTTGAATCGGTAGAAATGTTGAAACTGGTTCCCAAAGGACATAATGCAATTCTTCGAAGTACAGGATCTTGAACCGGTAGCCAAAGTTAGTACCGGTTCCAAAAGAACAAATTTTTGAGGGAAGGTTTAAAACTTGGAAAATTCCTTATTTTGGTAACTTCAAAAGACATACCATGCATGTATAGTATCCTAAGTGGGAAATAACTTCTTAAAAGTGTCGTTCATACCTTTTTCGTAGATCTCGGTTTATCAAACTTGAATAACTCTTCAATTCCATAGCCGATCTCAATCTTGATTTGGTAACATGAAAATTACAACTCGATCGGACTTATTTTAACATTGAAAAAAGCCAATTACAATAAATTATATCTCACAATCTCCCCCGTTGACAATTTCGTGACAAAACCACGAAAACAAATATAATCTACCCAAGCAAAAAAATAATAGACCACAATTTGTCAAGGACATGGAATTTTTTTTTATTATTATTCTCTGTTCTTTTCTCTTTTTGGAACTACCAGTGAAAGTTTAATAAAAAAAACATTTTATAAAAGCTCCCCCTAAATGAATTATCCACTTGTTCTCCCCCTTTTTGGAACAAATTGACAAAGTAAGCAATTATAGAGAAGAAAAATAAAGAGAAACAGGTCATTAAGATGAAATATGTCATTACACAGCCAAAAATCAATATCCCAAAACATAATGACAACCTCAACTTAACAAAACATGATGCATGAATGTATGAGAGAAAGAAAATAGACAGATCAAATCATCATCATCTCCCTCAAATGGAACAATAGAGGTTGGAACATCACCAAAATCAGCACCACCACCATCACTACCATCCTCATCATTATCAGCAACAGTATCATCTCTATCATCATCCTCATCAACCATAAACGGATCTGGAAAAATAGGTCTGTAGACATCCTTAGTAGAACCACCTGCCTACTGACCTCTAATATGCCTCATTTCAACCTTGAGATCTCGTATCTCATCCATGACTCTCTCAAACATGGTATTCTGATTATGAAGTAGAAGAGAGTACATTAGATTCGCATCGTCTCTCGAGAAATTCCCTTTGGAAGAAAATATCCTAGTAATCTCTGGCATCTAAGATGGAGTAGTATCTGATCCTCTCTAAACCTTCCTTGCATTTTCCCTTGCAAACTTTGACTTGTTGAGAGCATGAAGATCTAACTTAGTCAGAATCACCTGATGATAAGCCCAGGGAAGAAACAATATCTGATTTTTCCTATAAAATCCCACAATAATCATAGGGAAATGAGAGGATTTCCTCCTAGAATTGTTCTTGTAATAAGTAATCATTAGATTCATAATAGAAGGTCTAATGTGAATCTGTGCTCCAATAGCAAAAAGATACAGAACCTGAGCTCATTTTAATGTAATCCCATCCTTCTTCCCAAAATAGCCAAGATTGGCATGTTAAACAAATTCAGAAACGCTGCCTCATCAGTGACATAACGAGAGGGGATGTGATCGACATACCTAGGAGACCCCGGTGCATATAGAGTGTCATAGATCTCTTGCCATTTAGGACCCGGACCTCAGATAGGTAAAATATACCCCGTTCCACTTACTCTCTTTGGAACACCCAAAATAACACAAAATTTATATTCTGTGAAGAGATAATCGATGCCAAAAATTATTACTTCAAAGAATCCATCATCATTGACTTTGCGAATATTCGAGTAGAAGTAGTGACCATCTTTGGCAAAAAGCTACAATCCATGTTGGTGAAGAATAGCCAGTTATTCTTCTCAATATAATCAACAAGCTTCTGCCCAACACTATCACGAAGCTTCTTCAAATTCACATTCCTCTCAGTTTTGATTGGCCTGCCTTTGTAGACATTTTTATACGCCTTCTAAGCGTGCTCATTGTAAAAGTGATCACGAGTGAACTCGATCCTTCTAGTAGTAGAAATAGAAAAATACCCAGTTGGTATCTCTAGAAGGGGTGAGCTCATGTCCATAAGAGTATTTGAACCTTCTTGGGGCTCACGGATGACTATGTCAGTTCTAGCTCTCTTTGGAGCCTTTAGTGCCATAATACCTTCAACCTTAGCTTCCTTAGATAGTCTTGGAGGTATTTGATCTTTGGAAGATTTTGGTTTGAAGCATCTAAACTCGTTCGGGAACTTTGTCGAACACTTGGCGTGTGTAATACTCCTAATTTTAAAAGGATAGTCTCGGCATTGTATTTATTGTTTTATTTTATTTTGTGTGATTAATTGCATATTTGCTTAATTATTTAATTTTTTTATATTTTGGTTTGATTTAACTATTTAATTGTATTTAATAATTATTTAATTGTGTTTATTTAATTGGTGATTTAACAGTCTAATTATGTATTTAAATTACATTACGTGATGCATTGTTTTAATTGAATTTAAATGTTTTAATTATTTAACGTGGCTTTGTTAATTGGTAGCACACATAGTTACAAGTTAGGTTTTTGTTTTATGGGCCGAGTAAGTCAGTTTAGGGTTTGATAAGTTTCACGGTTAGCCGACTAGTTGTTATTTAGTTTAGATTTTTGTATCATGTTATAAATTAGGATTAGTGTTTCCTTAAACCTATAAATATAAGTATTAAGGT